GTTTATAAAAGGCAACAGTGATTTCCTTGCTTGACTAAACAAAGTGGTTGATTTAGTTTCTTTTCCTAATGAGTAACTGACATTTGAAAGTAAGAATCCAGCACAGAAATGACCAAGAAAAATCAATTAACTTGTCAGAACTAACACCAAGAAAGACTTAGACCTTTTCCTCACATTTAGAAGCTTTCTCAGACTTTCTGCCAAGTCAAATACTACTTGTAACTTAATTAATCCTCAATATCCTTAGCATCTATTAAAATGTGTATTTTAAAAAACTCAGAGTATAGCCTACTTTGCCTTTGATTAACAAACACAAGAAAGAGAACAGAAAAAAAAGAGAAGAGTTTGCTATCTTGGAACACTCATCCCAAACTGCTGTGAAAAATCCACTGCAGTAACCACAGAATTAGGATACTTCATATCAACGTTTTCTAAGGTTGTAAGCATAAATACTTTAAAAGTTAAATCTGATCTGCTTCAGGAGCTAGAACTCCAAGAGGAGACTTCATACCCAAGTTCGTAAAAATGAAATCAGAGGACAAACTATGATGCAGAAACTGCATGCTGTAATATAACTGGTTCTTCCAGAGGAACTACAGTCCCATAGCATCCTCTAGAAACTCAAGCTGAGCTCCCTTGTTTACTTGATTCTTCCAGGCAGATACAGCATTATTGCTCCACTTATGCCTTTTTCCCCTTCTAAATTGGAAATATTTTCTGTAGAAAAACCACTCTGACAGTTACTGACTTCTTATCTCATAAAATACAGTCTCCATGTGTCCTTTATAGGATGGTAAGAATAGTTCAGCATCTATGACAGATGTGGTTTTTCAACACAGTAATTCACAATGTTCATAAAGGAACCTATTCCCCAGCAAAAGCACTCCAAATTTGATCATAATCAAAAAGGCAAAGAACTAATAGAGATTTTGGAAAGCTTTCACAGTTTAAAAACATGACTGAGAAGACTGGAAGGGTAAGTGAAACACCAGCCCATTAACAAGCATTTGTTTCTTACTGCCAGTTAGTCAGACACACATTTTATAATTCCACTCCAAAAGCCCTGAAGGGCTCTTTAAACTAGACAAAAGAAAATTCCCTTTTACTCTGACATCCTAGAGTATTAAATACTTTACAATCAAAATTGGTTAACACTATTATTTTTAGAAAAGTATGAAGTTAAAAGCCCACTGTTTTTCTGTGTTCTTGAGTCAGAAAATTTTTCTGTCTTTTATTTCTGTGAGAAAGGAAAAATTCTCATATAGGTTTCTCAATAGAAGATATTTTACATGAAATTTCTACATTTTCCAATTCAAGATTACAAACAAAGTTTAAAATGCCTAACGTACTCCAGCAGACACTGATCCTTCAGTTCACTACTGCAAGTTACTTCTACACCAGATTTATCGGCTTTACAGACTTGGAGACGGCAATAGCGTGACTGCACGGAGCTTCCCAAAGGTATAATGCTTTAAAAGAGATTATCACCCATGCACAGAAGAGGTCATAAGACACATCTACTTGATGTGTCTTATGTGTCTTAATTGTTCTATATTACATCAGTTCTTTCATAAATGCATTTTATAATCTGAGCAGTACTAATAAGCAGACATAGGTTGCTTGAAACTATGGCCCATTGTTAACACTTATTGAACCCACAGCATTAAAAAAACAAAGGAAAAAGTAAATGGTCAACAAGCTTGACTCCTTCAATAAGCAGCTGATATCTCCATCAGGCTGCACTGATTACACACAGTTTATGCACCTGTTAACAGATTACTTACTCCCTGGAAGGAAAAGGAAGGCAGGCCAAAAAATTGCATCACCCACAGACATAACAGATTGAAAACGAAACAAATTCTCTTTACTAAGCATTACACTGCTGAACACTTACCTTGCTACTTCTTCTATCAGCGTTAAACAATCCCAGAAGTCGTGTCTTTTCTCTTTCTATTGCATCATTGCTTACTGAAGCCTTTCGGTTTGGTTCTGAAACAATTTTAATGGAATAGTTTTTACATTTCTGAAATAAAGATTTGGTATTTTAAAGCATCCTGGATTGGTGCTGGATTTTTTTTAAGCTGGAGATGTTATGGACTGGATTATCTAAGTAACTGCCAGATCTGCACTTTATTTGTCATCAAGCTTTTATTTGTTCTAGTATGTTCCAAAATCTAATTGAGTCAAATGGAATAATTTAATAAACTGCACCAAGTTTTCAACCACAATTCAGCAACCCTTATTAAAAGGCAAAATATGAGCAAATTGCTTAATCTTCAGAAATGCTTGTTGGATGTCTCACTTAAAACTCATAGAGTACTGTAATACTAAAAAACCCTAACACCTAAAGAAAAGATGATATAGTGAATGTCTTTAACAATTCACAGGTGTGACTTAATACTGTGAAGTTAAAGGGAAGATTCTCAATGTGGATTTTGATAAAGCTCCATAAATCAGAAGAAGACCTGTCCCTTGAAAACAGGGCTCTACTTAGAACTTACACCAGCTGATTGTGTTCATCTTTTCTTATCTTGGTGCTTTTACTTCAGGTGGGAAAAAATGGGACTTTATAGTTATTTCAGGCTGTAGGAGCTCAAACATGTGACTGCCTTGAACCTCTTAAGGAACTGTACGAATTCTCATTCTGTTTTGTCTCCATTTTCCCTCTTCAGTTTCTCATCCGCAAGCTGGATGAGCAAAATGATACAGTCATGGAGTACAGGAAACAACCACGTTTCCCATTCAATATACAGACTGTAAAGCTCTCTCACTCTTTTTTAATGGACTCTGCATAATGCTTGAAAATCTTTCTCTCTGGTTCCAAACACATCAGAGCATTTCACTGGCATACGGAAAGTTTAATTTGCAGGGAAGAATTTTATTTTGTTAATATTTTGTTTGCTTAATAACAAGAAGCAAATTCAAAATTACTATTTTGTCGACACAAAATAAAGGTTTCCTTCACAAAAAAAAATCCTCATCCCAGAACTCCTCTAAACTTACTTGCATATCACACAAAGCACATGATTTGCACATAGATCACTACTGCATATAAACAATGTCAGGTGTTAGAAGGTGTTAAGCACATACAGTAGATCAAAGTGCAGCAGAACTGTAAAAACGATGAACACAAAGGATAACAGGGAGAAACTATCCTTAAGAAAGACTACAACTACACTGATACCAAATACAGTAATAAAATAATACTTCTCTTAATACTAAGCACTGTCTATGCTCATTTGTTCATCAGAAACTGCTGGTTTTCTGCTTGAGCCTGGGCTGTAACTAGATATGGATCTTGATTCGCATATTCATATAGTCTTCAACTATAAACAATAATGCTGAAAGTCTAGCATAATTAACCTCAGGAACAGCTCATTATCAACTGTGCCATTAAGCACTGTATAATCCCAATAAACTGGGATTTAAACACAGCCAGTGGTCCCAAAAGAATGAGTCTTCATTAATCTGTACCACTTTTTCTTAGACAAAGACAGTAGATATTCCCTCTAGCATTAAACTCCATATAAGAGGAAGCCACATTACAGAAGTAATGACAGAAGATTAGGGGGCATAGTACTGCATTAGTGAAGCCAAGATGCCATGAGCTAAGAGTTGCTCAATGGCTGCCACCCACTGGAGGTGGGTTTCCTTTCTTCCTTCCCAAAAATTTAAAGAAGTTATCCAGTTTTATTTTGATTATGTTGTGTCTACTAGTAATGCAAAGAAGTGAAGCCAGTTAAAAATCAACCATGCCTTTCTTGAGGATAATTAATTTAAGCAATGTATTAAAACAGAGTTAGTGGAAGAAAAGGACATTCTAAATACACACATTTTCTGTTTAACTAGAAGCAGAAGCACAGGTGTAATCTAATCAAACCCTACGTACTGTAACAATTCAGAAGTCAGCATCTTTTCGGTTATTCAATTTGTATATATAAATTTGATATTAAAATGCCTTGCTGCGTGTAAATTGAAAACAGTCCTAGACCTCAAAATATTCTACCTTTGCTATTAAATAAATTTTCAATCCAAGAGATCTCTAAAATGTTAGTAATTCTGAAATTCAACTAATCATGCTTTAGGTAACCTGAACAGGCTTGGTATCTGTATAGAAACATATCATACTACAGAACAGTTAAATGGCAGAATTTGTTAATCGCTGGCATCTTAATGACAATTCCTGAAGAGCCAGTATACATAGAAGTGTGTTTGTTCTGACCAGCAGCACAGACACATAAACGACACTTTGAAAAGACAACACAGATTGAAAACAGCTTGTTTCTCTACAGCCTTTTACTCAACATTCTTAAAGATCTATCAACAAAACCCATATTAAACATAGTGTGAAGTGACAGACAGTTTTCCTTCAGCAGCATTGTACAGTACCTCTATAGTTCAGAGAAGGTTCAGACTGAGTTTTTGATGGAGGAACTGGAAAAGGCAGGCAATGAAAGGATAAGAGAAAACACATTAAAGTTCTAATATTGCCTTGTAAGGCACAATATTCATTAATTATTCCTAGCGCTTTTTTTGCTAAGTATTACAGAAAAAAAATGTTGACTGACAAAAGACATGCAGAGCTGCTACTGAAGCAGTTTAGCTGTGTTTGTATTAATTCCTGATTCACTCGTGAAGCTGCTTCAACTGCTAAATCAAATTAAGTAAGCAGGTGGCAGCAGAGCTTGTCTTTTAATAATTCTTCAGCACTTGGTGTTTCTGTTTCAGGGAAGGAAAGACTGATGAGTTTTTCTAGAATCTGCTCTTACAAGCACTGCCTAAGCTTTTAGCACCTCTGACACCTTACTTGTTAGAGGGAAAGTATTTTAAAAATCTGCATGTTCTGATAACTAAACAGGCTGGATAACTACTCAATGCACAATTCATTGACCAACAGCTACTAAAACCAATGGGTTTATTCCTCTTGGAGATTACAAATGAGAATATGGAAGAAGGAATTTGATGAAACAAAGGAAACATTTTCGTAAATTTTATGTGCATTTACTGGTTTTCTCAGACACCATGGTACAGAGTAACAGGAAGACAGAAAAGGCTGAAACACACTCACGATCAGGAGGATTTTATCATAGTGAAAAGTACACTGAAAAGTTAAAAAATAATAAAATATATATTAAAAAGATCTAATGTAGAGAGCAGCACACTATAAAGTGTAATATAATTTGCTGCTATAATCCTAGCCCTGTAGTAAAGTCTTGTTTTTGACTGTATAGGCTACAACCAGATTCAAGGACCAATAGTGTACGAGCATATACGTCATCCTTGTCGTTTGAAAGGAAAGACTTTAAGGCAGACGTGTAAGTAATGAGAGTATGTTGAACGAATCCTGTTGAATACTCTGCCTGTTCAATACATTGCTCCAAAATGGTTAGCTTAATTACAAGTAAACGTCTTAAAACAACAAACATGCAATTGAGTTATGACATTGTCAACTTCTTTTTTGAGTATCTTAACAATTGAAAGGAAAAGGAGATATTTAGTTTACTTAGAAGTCTAAACTCATTGAAATTTGACTCGCACAGAGGTAGAATTGTCACTTATCAAAGGAGTTGGAAAGAAGAGACAGAACGTCAACATAAATAAATAACTTTATAAATAAAAAATAAGCCTGCAGCTCAGCACCTACAAGAATGACATTATCTAAACAATAAATAAGGATATTTACTGTGCTGGAAGTGATAGCAATTGAGACAAACTGCAGGAGACAATTTTAATGAATATCACTTTCTGACCTCAAAGGAAGTAGTGCTTGTCAATGTGTATTTTTAAAGCAGGTATATTTTAAAGCACATCACATAATTATGCTATTTGAATACATAATCAGGCTGATAAAACTCAAGTCTAAGAAGCTGCTACTACAATGTCATCTATCAGAACAGAAAGTGAGGATAAATAAACAAGAGAAAACAATTTCAAATACAAATACCTCTTAGTTCCTCTTCACTAAACGGTCAATAATTTCGCTCTTTAGGAACCGTCGCTGAGCCTATCCAGTCTGTTTCTCATAAACCCTGGTCTGTCGCCTCTGCCTCTCAGCTTTCACAGCTGCCATGACTATGGCATGTCTCTTCTTTCTTTCTCTCCAACCCACAGCACAGGTAAATGACAGCCTCTGCCTGGCTGAGGCCCCTGTGGTACACACACCTCTACTGACAGCAGCTCCAGGATGTAGCAAAGCTCCTCCTTTTGCCCTGCCCCAGGCCAGTCTGCACCCTGCCAGTGTCCAGCCCAGCCTGGCACAGGGCCCAAGAGCAAACAAGGACGGCTGGGCATGTTGCTGACCTGGCTGCTTCTTGGGACATGGCTTACTGAACAAACTCATGCTGCTCTCTGGACTGAGATGTCACTCTGCTGTTTCAGCTGGACTCCAGAGGAATGGCAGCACAAATGCTTTTAAGTTGCCCATACTACTGTTGTCACAACATATAACCCTGCAGCAACTTCTTTCAGTCTCAGCTCACCTTTTTTCCTGTCCCAGGCATACAGCTCCTTTATCCCCAGCTCCTCCAAGGACTTGGTAAGCTCCAGTTCCTCTCCAGTTATGCCATCTCTCAGAAGAACAATATGCTCTTGACTGACTTCACACTTCTCACAAATAGCTGGGATGATGTTGTGGAGAGGCACCTCTGGACTAACTCGAACCACAGCCTTCTGTGTCTTCAGGTAGTTCACTACCAGCCTCACAGATTTCTGCAGAAACAAACACAAACTCTCAGTCTCACCTCTGTGATGGCTAAACTATTTTACAATGAGAAATGCACTGGGGAATTCCATATTGTTTTGATTACTCTCAGGTAAATTTAACCCGCACTGAAAAAAAATGTTATTTAAAAAAAAAAAAATCTCAGACCTCCCTTGCCACTAAGAAGACATTAACAAGAACAGGCCAAGAAGAAAAAGGAATCAGAGGCAGAGGTAATTTGTGAATGTTCACAAGTACCACTCTGAAAGGTATGAGAGTATAATTAGATATTGGTTCAGAATAATAAAAACTTCAGCAAACATTTGGAAAATGACTACTTCTGAATCTTCACAGTAATGTGAAATACATTTATTAATGATCAGTCTTCTCCCATATCTTTAATAAAGATGGCAAACAAAATATCACCAAAACTCCATGTACCTCCATACAACCCCATAACTCTCATTTCAATCATTACTGCAAATTTCAATCACCCTGATCTTCAGATTTCCATCTATCCAACCACATGCAACATAACATTTTGTCTAAATGTCTAGACTAGCCTCTACCAATCTGCATGCAAAACAGTTAAGCTAGTAAAGCAGGTTATAGTCAATCGTCTTTTCCATCCAGTTCCAAGATGAAAAGACTGGAAGAACTGCTTGAAATCACAGGAATGAAATGATGTTTCATGGCACCATTTTAGCCCAACAGAGTACTGACCTCAGGGACTCTTGGTAGAGGTCGCTTTGCCTTCTCTTCAGGAACCTTCTCTTTCAGAAGTACTGTCTCTACGTCCAGTGCTCCTATCAAAGTGTTTGGCTTGTAACTCAGAACTTGGTGAGTTCCCGAAGACTTCAGTTCAAGACTGTGTTGGGATGGATTTAAGTGATACTGGCTGCATAAATCAACCAATACATCCATCACAGCTTTACTGCAAGGAAGAAGACATTCACCATTAGCATGAGAAAAAACAGTTTTAAGATGGGAGGAAAAAAGACAATACAAGCTGTGGATGTCTCACTAGATAACCATCTTTATGAATGATCAGTGCTAGTGCTTTGAAATGCTAAACAGATCAGATAAAATGTTAGGAATTAATATGTTTGCACTTGAGTGCCTGTTTATGAGCTGGCAATTAACTATTCACTCTGAGGCAGACAACAGTGCCAATCATAGCACTAACCAACATAAGCCAAGAGCAGACAACGTGTATCTTATCTCCTAAATCCATACATTAAACTCTCCAATTCAAATACTGTTCTTTAACATGAAGACAAAATATAAATAAATTATGCATTCATAGTCCAGTAAACTCTACCTAGATTTGAATCATCACATAACAGAACTCAAAATGGAGCATTTAAATCTGGAACAAACAGTGGAGAGGTTTATTTTTCCACCTTATGATTTTGAGTTCCCCAAATCCATTTGACACCAGCAGTATTTTCAAGTACAAGAGATCCTGTCCATATTTATTTTGGTGAGGATATTAACCCTGTACGAAAATAGTTTTGAGTGTTTGCATTATCAGTAACTCTTACTGCAGATGTGATTCTTAAACTGCGAGATTAAAAGAGTCAGCAACTATCCCTCTCTTATTTCATGCCTCTGCACAGAAGTACTCCATTTTGTGTCAATAACTCAATATTCACTGGAGCTTGATGCTTCCTGACACAGCCAATATGAACTGTGCTCCCCCACACCTCTGAAATTCTCTTCTACCATGATTCTGAGGTGGGTTTATTTTTACAGCTTTCTCTCCTAAAATTCCATACAGGATCAGAGAACTAGATTTATTAAAACTGGTAATTTTTCTGAAAAGTTTTGTTTTCACAAACCAGTGTCTGTCATACAAAACAATGTAAGTTGAAAAAAAACTTCCAGCTGTAGCTGAAGCCTGTCATATACAGTGGCTTCTAAGCAGAAGTGAAAATAAGTGCATACACAGTATATTTGTCAAAAGAACTGTCACCTCTTTTAATATTTAAACTGGAAAAACTGTATAGAGATTCAAAACGCAAGCAAATTCAAAGAAAATAAAATCCTTCACAGGTTATTAGCTACCACCATTACATCTGTAGCTCAAGAACTGCCCTTCAAACTGCAAGCTGTTGGCATCCGGGAAACTACTCTCTGTGGGAGGCTGTCAATCTCCTTTCTGTGGGTATGTTGTTGGCCAACAACTGGTCAAGAATTTGGTGAAAAACCCCGGAGAGCTAATGGCAAAGACAATGAAAATGGAATAAACAATTTCTTATTAACAGTCAAAAGATTAAAATATAGTAGATGACAGCTCTTCCCACGCAAGAGAAGAGAAAAGACCTGCTTTATAGTCACCTAACTGAGCTACACAGTGTGAGCTGGAAAAATGGCAAGTGTGGAAAATTTGAAGTATGTGATCTCACTGAAAAGAACACAGTTAGAAGATGATGACTGAAGATCAAACAAAGAAAACACATGTCATTAATATGTATAGGAGGCATCAGAAAAATTAGAACACTCTTGCAACTGCTAACATAGATACCATCTAAATACAAACATTCAGCAACTAAATCAAAACCGTATGAGCTCATTTCAATGATGACTTATTCTGGTACTGCCTGCAAGTTGAAAATGTCTGTATCTCACAACCATGTTCAATTCATATGCAACACATCACAAACCAACAGACACTTACACCTACTAGATCCAAACTATAGGAGAATCCCATCTACACCAATATTCATATGAATATTCATTAAACTGTGCAGCAGTGAGCACTTTAAGAAAGTGTCAGTTCTCCTGATACAGATTTTAGCTTGTCTGTTTAAAGACATATTGCTTTTAAACTAAAATATGAATGTGTTTGTTTCCCCTCAGCCTTATTACTATTGTTTCACAGAAAAGCAAGTAACCTGGCAAAATCACAATACATGCTGTTCTATGTGCTAGACTTTTCTATTTGAAGTAGAACACTAATATATTTTTATAGTGCATAATATTCTGATAATTCATTCAAATTTGGACAGTTATCTTACCTCTTGTAAAAAGAATATTAAAAAAATACACTTCATCAAAGTAACAGTTTATGATTCCACACATCTACCACTGAAATTATAAAATATTTTCAGCAGCAACAGTACCACAACTACAACAAGATCAGAATCCACACCAGCCATCTGAGAATATCAGACTCAATCACGCAAGTTGAACAAATTTGTCTGGACAATGGACAATTCAAAAATCCAGTCAAATTTGAAGTTTCATCTTACTGCTGATTACAGAGCAGGCATGTATTAAACATAACACATAAGGAAGTCTGCAACATCCCAACCTGTGCCGTGCTACTCAGAATACACAACTGAAAAGTATACCAGGCTTCATCCGTACCATTTAAAAATACAGATTAAGCAATACCTCCGATGCTTCTGAAACAACTTCAAAATGAATAGTAAAGAATAAATGGACAGTAAAGAATAACTACTTTGTCAGCAATATTTATCACTCTGAAGCTGTGATCAAGTTTGAGCTTCAGACTGCTTGTGTCCTGTTCTCCAGTAAAACGCAGCAAAGGCCTATAGTTTTAAGATGCATAAAACAACTGAGTTGCTTTGGGTGTGGTTTGGCCTAATCTTCTTGGATCACATAGAGAAATCCATTTTAAAAATACAGCCCTATACATCTAAGAAATAAATGTGCAAGGTAAAGTTGTATTCTATCAAATGAAACCAACTTTCTTATTACCTTCTACCTTCATTCTGCAAATGTCTTTCAGTATCTGAAAGAGAGCCTACAAGACAGCTGGAGAGAGATTTTTCACAAGAGCATGAAGTGATAGAACAAGGGTTAATGGCTTCAAACTGAGAGTGGGTTTAGGTTAAATATTAGGAAGAAATTCTTCTCTGTGAGGGTTGTGAGGCACTGGAATAGGTTGGCCAGCAAAGTTGTGGATGTCCCATCACTGGAAGTGTTGAATGCTAGGATGGATGGAGCTCTGAGCAACCTGGTCTGGTGAAAGATGTCCCTGCCCATGGCAGGGGGAGTGGAACCACATGATCTTTAAGGCCCCTTCCAACCTAAGCCATTCCATGCCAAAAAAATATCTCAAACTGGAGGAAAAAATCCTCTTTATTTAGATCAATGCCAGATACACATTAGGAATCTACAGTGACAACTGACTGGCAAAGAAACACTATAGTGTAAAGGGGGTGACCTGAAATCTCTAATGCTTTCACTATCTGCATTTAAAAACAGAAAATAGCATTAGTCATTATTATTTTCTCATGCTCCAAAATACAGCAGGCACTTATGTAAAGCTTAAAATTTTTCCTACACAACCAGACATGTATATACTTAATATCAAGCTGTATCCAAACAAGTTCAGGAAGCATGATAAACAGACACCCATAAATGTTTTCTATTTCTTTTCTTATTTTGCTCATGTACATTTGGCTCTTATTTTCCATAACTGAGCAAGTCCACAGAAGGAACGTTAAGGTGACACACAAGACGAGGCAGAGGACTGGGTTTGTTGAGCCTTAAGACAAGAAGGCTGAAGGGATATCTTCCTGCTGTCTGTAAGTATGAACTGGTAAGGTTACAGAGCCAGATTCTCCTTGCCAGTGAACAGCAAGAGGGTAAGCGGGAAAAGACAAGCACCAACACAGAAAATTCCATTTAGGTACATGAAAACATTTTGTGACCATGAGGACGGTCAAGCCCTGGAAAAGGGGTACAGAGACATTCAGAAACTTCCTCCCTGGAGGTATTCAAACTTGCCTAGAAATGGTGAGTTACAGTGGCCCATTTCCAACATAAATTATTCTGTAAATTATTCTAGGAAGATTGTCTCTTTTTTCTTAACCTGCATTGAACTACTGTAGTTTTGATCTGACTCTTATTTAGTATTTAGTTAAGCTAATTTTTAAACCTTCTGCCATGCGCCCTGTTTATCTTTTTCTAACAACAGTTCTTTCATGTTTTACCAACCTGGGTTGATTTCACACTTTCAGTCTTTCTTGAAACACTGTTCTATATGTTGAGCTATAAACCCGCAATAATGAGTCTATTACTGCCAATTATGTGAGAATAGTCTTTCTGCAATGACATTAGCTCTAGGCTCTGCATACTCTGCAGTGAACACTGTCCTTGAGTATTTGCAGAATGGGACTTCAGCTTCGGCTAGTTTATATTTATTCCAGTGTCCTCCCTGTGCATCATATACATGAGAGAATTTGTGTAACATGTAAGATAACAGCAGGAGCAACAACTTTCCAGTTTACTGTTCTGCATATTGGTCATCCATGGCATCCATGACAACTCCAAACCAAACACCATTTAGCTTCAAACATTCCCATTTTTCTACAATGCATTTCAAATACTACTGAATTCTCAAGCTGCTGACACTTTGTATCTGTGTTAATCGGGAAGTTCTCCTCAGTGTCACTCAGTGTGAATGGAGACGGATGCATCATCCTTTTATTTACAGGTTACCTATTGAAAACATTACCTGTGAGAATCACAAACAGAAGAGGTTTCTGGTAACTTTTGTGAGCTTTCCCACTTATTTTCTGTCTAAATGTCTAGCCATCACCTCTCTCAGACAGTTAACAGTTAACAGTTTGTGTGGATCTGCTACAGATCTATATGCATAAAATGCATGTGGCACACCTCTGCCTATGCATTCAGATGTCAATTAGTGCTCATACAAAAACACAAACATAGAATAGTTATGGGGTTATTTTATAGTCCTTTTCAGTGGGAAGTAGGTTAACAGTTTTTCATGAATACTTTTACAGTAGAGTTCACAGGGATTGATTATTTTAAAAAAAATAATTTTTTAACACTATTCGATTGCTGCACACCCTCCCTAAGGATTCAGCTTAAAATCTGCACTACATAGTTCCAAAATCCCAAACAAATTGTCTGTTACAAGATGGCAATAAACTCTTAAGGAGAGACTTTCAGCTCGAGTAAACTTTCATAAATAAAATTGTTTTAAAGTTCCAGACTCCAATAAAATATCTTGAAACAGCACAAACTTTCTGCATAGAGAACAAAGCTAAATTAACAACATGCTGCTTTGCTCACATATAATGAACAAATTGAAATATATAATTTTTACTTTTAACTTAGTTGATTTAGAATAACCTTAAGTGATACTAATTGCCTACAGTATTTATCTTTTCAAATATAATCAAGTGTACTTCATTGTTCTGTGAACTGCTTTCCTGAAATTACAGAATAATTTTTTATTATGGAGATGCCCAGGGCAAGGTTTTGCAAATTTTTCCGCAATAAAAAAAAATATTTCCCCAGGGTGCCCAAAAGCAGATTTTGCAGAATGCAGTTTTGATGATGGCAACAAAAATACTGAAGATTTACAGCAGTATAAACAACAGTAGGTTTTCTGCAATGCCCTTTTATGACATCACCACAGATAAAACGAGTGAACGGGGAAAAAAAATTCATTACTTGCACTGGCTCTTATACTTGCCTCAAACTAAAAAAAAAAACCACTTTTTTTTTAAAATTCAGTATCTTCATCACTTAATGTCTACCTCTGACTACCACTGTCTTCACAGCTGTTCAGTTCACAATGCCAAAAGAATGCAAAAGGTTGAAAAAGCCTGGGCTTTCACCCAAACCCAGATACTTAAGACAGTTCATCCACTACAGATTTCAGATACTCTTGACATTTTACTATTCCACATACCTAAAATTATTACCAGTATTAATGTACAGAAAATTACATCTTCCAGTTATTAGAAAGAACAGCAATACATATGAGGTCTGTTCACAGACTGATGGCACTGTAATACAGGGCTCATTACAGAGTATCCTTTTCTTACTTCATAACTTGTTAGGATGATTTACTCCCCCTTCCTCAATTTCTATCATCTTCCACTTCCCACAGCTGACTATCCATGTCACTGACTTCTCCACTCCAAGTCTTCAAGACAGCGCCGAGGGAGAACAGCTACTACCTAGGTTAGGCACTGGTGATATGCAGATTAGCACATTAACACAAGCAGGAATTTAACTGCCACCTAAATCAGAGCCCTACACGGGTCATGCAGTTACCAGAGAGAAGTGAACACCTTCACAAACAACGAAGAGAATAGTTTGGTTTCTTAGAATGCTTAATGCAGATGATACAAATAACCCCACAGAAACATGTGAAGTTTCATTTTCAACATTTCTTTCAGGTTTTAGTCCACAGACTAAAGACTCTAATAAACGAAATACTCAGTCTCAGTGTATGCGATAGGTAGTGATAAACAACTGTGCAAGACACAGAATGTTTATTGTACAGGGACTTTCTAGTTGTTCTTTGCTCCTCTAGCTTTTATGTTCTTCAAAAAGCCACATTAAAACACCATTCTTCTAGTGCTCTTGGACTGTTTGTTCTGGGATTGTTTTTTTGAGGGAAAGGAAAATATTTTCTAACCATATGGCAATTATCTATGTCTCAATACAAAATGCTGCATTTTGTCAGCCTCTTGTCAGCTCTCAGCTTGTCAGCTCTCAGGCTTGAATTTGACAGTGAAACATCACCTTTCTTTGGGTCTAATGGCTCATGAGTTTCGTGTCCTGTTCTACTTCTCAGGCCTGTTCTCTTCTTTCTCTCATTAAATCCAAATCTCCCCATAAAAACTCAATCATTACATGTCTAATCTACAAGCCCTGATAAGCACTGCTTTCCTTTCAAATCTTTAACATCACTCTGGCTTTGGGACTGACCCACACAAGTTGCACTAGTCTCCTGAGAGCGAATAACAACTGCTGTACACATCCTTCTCAGTCATCAAAATACACTAACAGGCAAACAGTTAAAACAGACTAATATACCAGACCAAAAAGAGTAGTTCTACAGGAATGCAACTAACTACTGAAAACCCCGAATGTAAAATAAGCACAGACCATATAGGTGCCTATCAATAGGCACCTATATATCCTCTGAATTTGATGCTACACTTCCTACAATTTATCTGCTGCTGACCACACCATTGTTTTTTACAGTTTCATCATAGTATTGATAATATTTTTAAAAGTTTTTCAAATTATTTCCTAAAGTAACATCTCCCTCTTTCAAACCAATTCACACAGAGAGGATGAGGATAAGAAAGAGTTTCCATAGCAAAGAAAATTATCTTAAAATTGCCTTTCCAATACAATTTGCCCTTGGTTGTACCCAGTAAGTAGCAAGGAGAACCTCTTCCTCTTTATGGAAAAAAATACACTTCTCTATATAAAAGGCTTCCTAAATATGAGCAGATGCTTTGCTGTCTACACAACTGCAAAGTATTTGTAAAGGTGGTATCTCTGAATGTAAGGAATCATTCATCTTCCAAGCTTGCTTTTTGGCATGATTCCAGGCAGTCATACTGTCAGGACTGCTGTTTGCCAGGAGCCACCTACTTCCACTGCACCAAACCCATTCTGGATTATGAAATGTGATACAATCTAAGCCTACTGGCACTACATGAAATAGATGCACATGTGCTGATTGTGGTCCATAGGGCCAGTGACACAGTAGCTGCTAAATTCTTCCTGCCCCAGAAGAGAGAGTCCTTTATATATGGCTCTCAGGACTCTCTGGTGCAGCAGCTGCTCAAAATGCAGAGAAGCGCATGACAGAGAAATCCCATAAAGTCAGAAAGACAGACACCAATATCAGCAAATATCCCACTGGGAACAAGGGGCTCCAGAAAGTGGGAGATAATCAAAGCCCTACCTTCCTTGTACTGTGTTCTTCTGCTCTGCCCCGCTGGGTAAAATGACTGTGAAGTCCACCAATCTGTTTATCATGTTCTCCTTCATGCTCACGAGGTTCTGATCAGAAATTACAGCTGTCTCTGCAGAGGACTTGCGCTCATTGTGAATTCTACTTGCTGCAGAAGGTTGATTTGGTGGAGGAGGAGCACGAGCTTTCATTCTTTTCCTTGAGAAAAAAAGGCAAGAAGAAAATTAATAATTTCTTGCAAGAAAAGTATAAACACATTACTAAGAGATACATGTTCTTTCAGACATAACCTCAGATTGTTTTAAAAAATTACTCTAATGCGAGTCATTTTCTTTATCATGAAATTTTTCAATGGAGTTGCACTTTTATTTTTACCTCTTCTCTAAAAATACACTAATTTTTTAATAATGCACTCACTCCTACTGTTTGTTTTCCATGCTCCAGGGGATGGATCAGTTTCATAAGTGGGATATGATATAATAATTTTTCTGTTGAGTATGAAGCCTGCTCCAATGAAGTGAGAAACAGAAATGCTGGGTCCAGTCCAGACCTGACTCAAGAAAGAGTTGTATTTACATACATGAATGTTTCTTCCAAGTCAGAATGGCAGGAGTGGAGGCAGGGTGAGGTTTCATTCAGCTATATTTGGGTTCCACAGTATTACTCTACTTGTAATATTGTCTCCTCCTCTGCTCTGAGTTAGTAGTATTAAATCTGGCTCATCATACTTCACAGGGAAGCACCATGAAAAGGTCAACTGTGAATGATATCACTTCTTACCATACAACACTAGGCTCTAGCTCTTTGAAAGCACCCTGAAAGGAACTCATTCTTCAGTAGCAGGCAATGCACAATGTGTGATATACAAAAAAGCTGCATCAGCTTGCACCAAACAAGCAGTGTACTTTACAGAGATAGAAACCCACCACAAATTCAAAGTTTACTTCATTGGCAAGCTGCCAGACAGATAAGCAACATATGTGTGCTGTTAAATTTCTGAATAGCTGGCCTCATACCAAGCACATGTCTAAGAGGATTAACTCTGATGATTAATAGCCCAGTGACCTCTTCTGACTAGATTTATGCCTAGTTTAAGTCTGATTTTAGTGTAACAGATGGAGAAAGCAGTAAAATATTTACTCAGAAATTATTACCCAGGTTTACTGCCTGCATTTTTTAAATTTTTCTGTTTTAGGATGCAGGAAAAGAAAAGATTATAATTCTGCACATCATTTTCACCCCGCAAACAACATAAACCGAGGTCCAGAAAGGAAGAGTACAGGAAAAGCACTCTAACCCTACAAAGCCTGAAAAGCTTAGTGGTTGAATCAGCCAAAGACAAAACTGTGTTTAGGGGAAAAAAAAAACAAAAAACTGAACTGAAATACCAAACCCAACTCTTCTTTAAGAAAAGATAACCTGTATTCTCACAGATAAAAAGACTAAACATACAGCTTGGATTATCTCCTGGCAGAGAAAAACAGTAAGAGCTATATCACATTAAAAAAAAAAAAAGAAAGGAGGAAAAAAAAAGATTAGTTCAGAAACAATCCAAACCCCTTATACTTTTAAGTCAGTTTTGCATTTGACCAACAATTTCTATTATGTGTCTCAACTACAAAAATTTGCTACACTGCCTTGAAAATACACATTTCAGTTAGACCTCTGCAGGATACTGTAAAATTAGCAGTGATGAAGATATTGCCTTTCCTTTCCTGTGTGCATAGAAAATAGCATTCTCTACAAATATGCAGGGCGAGGTACTGCTTTATTTATCAGCATACAGCAATTCCTCTTCCATCAGAAGTTTTCCCTGAACATTCACTTTTTATCCTGTATACACCCAATGAGTCATGAAGTCATCAGTCACTAACTTGCAGCTTCTACGCTCCTCCCCGTGGAGGTGATGGCAGGAAGTTCGAGGCTTTACTGTTTGTCAAACTACCTTGACTTTCTATATCTCTATGAAACAAACTCTTACTTGTCTGTCAGAAAAAAAAAAATTGGGATTCATCTTCTGCTCACATACCTTTACCTTTAGCTACAGTTGTTATTTGTAAGCAGATGGTGAGAGACGTGGGAGTTTTGCATACATCCAGATCATGCCAACACAGCCTTACAATCATGCAGTGCAAAGTTTAAGGACTTCATATCAATTTACAAATGATGTAATTCTTGCCCTTCGTAACACCAACACCACCAATATAAGTAGCTACAGAGATTCACATCAACCTGTTTCTTAAAACAAGCTTTTATTTTGGTTTTTAAAGCTTGTCCTATAATGGGGGAGACAATTGCAACAGTGTTCCTGACAAAGTACCAAAGTGGGTGGGAAGAAAAGAAGATGGTAAGTGTTCTGAGGCTGGCAGAACGAGTTGTAAATATGAGTTACCTGGACTTGTAAATTCCAGATCTCACAGTGAACAAAGATAAGAAAATAAAGCAATGGTTATAAAATAATCATGAAACTGAAAACATCTGAAATGGAAGAGACTTGAAGAGACTTCAGGGGAGAAGTGAAAAAAGAGTTAGTTTTGAAGTTGATTAAGGAGCAGCAAGTAAGTCAGGAGTAAGTTATACAAGATATCTGTTCCCTAGCAATAACAAAGCTGCATCTGGTTTTCTGCAAGAACAGACAAACAAGGTCAGACACCTTAATACTAATTTATAGCTCTGAAATGAGTGTGACTTTTTAAATTACTTTTATTTTTTAATTTTTTTTTTCTTTTTAAGTACTCTACAGCCAAGTCTGCAGTTACTGACCTTGTATAAAACTGCTTGGGGCTGGAGTGGGGGGCAGTGTGTGTAGTATGTCAGCAAATCAGACATCATACCATCAAAAGCATCAGCTATTCATTGACCAGTGATGTTCACTTTATATAACATGTAACAATGCCTGTTCTTTTTGGCATTACGCAGATAGGGCCTTGTAGATACTACAATCCTCCTTTTCTTTTGTGCAGAAAGGAGAGGACAGGTCTGTTTCCTTCAGAGACATCAGAGAAAGGAAAAGGGAAAACATTCCCACTGCAGTCTCACAAACCTAGCTACAGTTCAGGTGACCTCACACGAACTTTTCCACAATAACGACTACATATTCTCTTGAAACACTACAAGTGCTTTAAATGTCTGGTTTTCAACATTTTCCAAATGACAGATCTCAAGTTATTTCAGTGGAAGCAAATCCCTCTAAAGTTCACATTTGTAGAGTGATATGTGGCACAGATTTGCATTTCCTAGCCAGCTTTCTGAAACATCTCAGTAGTAGAAAGAAGCTCCATGAACTGCAGACTGAAATCCACAGATCTAGCTCTACTTTGGATCTGGCACAAGCAGCTGCTTTCTGACAGGCTCCAGCAACTGCAGTCAGAAGGTGCCTAGAAGTTGGTTAATACTATTGAAAGTGAGCCAGAAAAAGAATTCATCCTTCTCTGTCAGAGCTACAATGGTTATAAAGGACAATAGCAAAGCACTCCATAATAAAAGCCTTTTTGTTACCCCACTTAAATAATGCACAGAGAAAGTGAGTGATTTAAAAGCCTCTTTTAAGCATGGGTACTTTCCAGATGATAAACACAACATACTATAAAAAAGTTCAGTGTGAGATAAACTAAATTTAATTCAGCAGCCTTGTTTTCTCCACAAACTTCTTTCACTGTGCTCACTACTGAGATACCTATTAAGACCACCTGCCTGCTTTTAATTTGTGGTAGAAGTTAGAAGTGGAAACATTTGAAATCTATGATTAGGTTTAATTCATGGTTACATGAATGCTTCCATACGGTCCTTGAGATAAGAGACAGATTAAAAAGAAGCAGCTGATTCTAATACATAAAGGTACAGTGACTTTTACTGAGGCTTGAACTAATCCTTCTCACTTTGCTGTAAGTTGAAAAAATGCTTACAGTCATGAAATAATTAGGCAGAACACATAAATAACCTACCAGCACTGTTCTCAGTAAAGGCATCAGGCTTCTCAAAATGGAAAAGGAAAAACAAGGAAACTGACCAACAAGACCAGTGTTTCTGTAGTACAGCACATGGAAGAAAGGCAACAGAAATGAAGAAAAGTTTCTTGTAAACTTCTAGACAAGGTAACAGAAGCCCTTTGGACCCACAATTTATTAATATATAACTACCAAGCAACAGGATGCAACCTGGACTTTACAATCCTATGCTAAAAAACCCAGGAGTGGTCCTGGGACTTCCACCGCCATGGCGAGGCTTTGCAGAGATTGCCTTTCTTCAGATAAGGTCTAAAACACACACAAAAATATAAAACAGTGAAAGTGAAACAGATCCTACACATTTTCACCATGCTCCATACATAATCCTCTCCGCGCTGTAGGGCTATGGCAACTTAACAGGGCAAACTTCATCCCATGGATGTCAGTGGGACTTTGGCAAGAGCTCCACACTTTACCCGTTCGTAGAATCTGGTTCTTTCTATGCCAAGCCTCTCTCTAACCATTCATTTTAAATAAGCAACAAAAACAACAACAAAAACACACACAAAAGCGCAAAACAAAAAACCTGAAGAAAAACAAACAAAGCCCACCACAAAGAAACAAAAACAAAAAACCAAATAAACAAAAACCCAAAAAACCCCCCAAACAAACAAAAAAAACCCCTAAAAAATCCCCACCAAAAAAACCCCCCAAACCAAACAAACAAAAAAAAAAAAAACCAAAAAAACCCCAACCAACCAAACAAAAAAACCCCCCCAAAAAAACCAACAAAAAACCCAAACCAAAACAAACAAAAAAACCAACAAAAAACCAAACCAAAACAAAAAACAAACCACGGAAAAACCCACTAAAACTAAAACAAAATCCCAACCAACCTGCAACATAGCAGAATTATGGAAACATTCATTTTTGATATAATGAACAACTAGCACAGTCTGGGAAGTCAATTTGCAATCTAGTCAATGCACAAGACTGGAACAGTTGTAGAGGGTTTTTCTGTAACAGTCATGTACACCTCACCTCATAATTAGGAGGAATAAACCGAAATGCAAGTGCTCAGTGGTAAGTGAATACAGACACAGTATCCCTCAAATGAAAACCAGGAAACATGGGAATAAACATTCTTGACTTTTGGGTGACTGCACTCCTACAGTCTTTTGAGGGGAAATCTATGCACATTGCTGTCCGAGAAAAAAAAAAGCAGATGAGTACCGTTCACTCACTCCCTTT